TTGGTAATTGGTTTGTAGCTTGAAATTAATTACGAGGATTTTAATGAGAACCAAAGAGTACAGAAAGGACAGAAAACAGGAAAGAAGCATCAGAAAACGCGTTTTCCACATCATTCACACACCAACTACCGACCGAATACGAGTTTTCATTCGTTTAAAAACTAATTATACTAAATAATACATCGGTTTTTGAGTTGTTTTCACTTTAAATCTTGAATTAATAACAATATTGGTATTGGTAATTGGTTTGTAGCTTGAAATTAATTACGAGGATTTTAATGAGAACCGAAGAGTACAGAAAGGACAGAAAACAGGAAAGAAGCATCAGAAAACGCATTTTCCACATCATTTACACACCAACTACCGACTGTAAACGAGTCTATACTAATTATACTAATAAAAACATCTAGTTTTGAGTTGTTTTCACTTTAAATCTTGAATTAATGACAAATATTTGGTGGGCTTAGCTTCCTGTTTCGTTTTTTTATTATATAAATAAACCAAAAGTAGTAAAACTATCGACTGGTTCTTTCTCTACTCGGAAGATTCCTCTTACTGGAATGTTTGATTTAACCTCCTAAATTCAGCTGTTCGTTTTGGTAATTGGTTTGTGGCTTGAAATTAATTACGAGGATTTTAATGAGAACCAAAGAGTACAGAAAGGACAGAAAACAGGAGAGAAGCATCATAAAACACGTTTTTCACATCATTCACACACCAACTACCGACTGAATACGAGTTTTCATTCGTTTAAAAACTAATTATACTAATAAATACATCGGTTTTAGAGTTGTTTTCACTTTAAATCTTGAATTAATAACAAATATTTGGTGGGCTAAGCTTCCTGTTTCGATTTTTTATTATATAAATAAACCAAAAGTAGTAAAACTATCGACTTTAAAATAATTTCCCTCTGGGATTATTAAAGTATTTCTGATTCTGATTCTTACTGGTTCTTTCTCTACTCAGAAGATTCCTCAGACTGGAATGTGGGATTTAACCTCCTAAATTCAGCTGTTCGTTTTGGGAATTGTTTTGCAGCTTGAAATTAATTACGAGGAATTTAATTTAATTAATTATACATTTATTTATCATTTATTAAATTTAACAGCCTTTCATGAGAGGTCTGTTAACAGACCTTTTTTAGGGTAATGGAAATATTGAGAAGAAAACACTTAAAGGAATTTCTTTATTTCTGAACGTTTTTTTTTTTTCACAGAAATGGCCTGTTTGGATTCAGAGCACAGAAACATCTCTGGGAAAGCTCTCTGATGATGGACCAGTATCTGAGCTGGTTCTGAGGGTCAAAAACTAGATTCAAAACAACGAAAACAAATAAACCCCAACAAATGGAAGAAATAGGCTTAGGAATGCCATGCATGTGGATCATTATAAAGGGGCCGACCTGTTGAAAGTGGAGCTTCCCGATACTCATATGTAATAAACATATATATATATATAGAATATAATGTGTCCCAGATTAGAATTGTTATTACATGAGGTGAGTTGGAAACTACCAAAAAAGTCAAATTCCTAATAGAAAGGGACGGAAATCAATGTCCTCTATCTGATAATGTAGCATTAGCTCATAATTAGCTTTTTCCTTATTCATATAGTCCAGAATTTAAGGTAAATTGATTCAGTTGTCATATAATGTCTTGATTCTTTCACATTTTGGTAAAGTGGAAAATCACTTACTTATCAAAAGACACAAGTTTTTCATCCCGAAAACTGTCTTCAGTCTAAAAAAAAAGAGAAGAAAGTCAGAATGTGATCATCGCCATGTTGAGTCTACACTTCAGTGAGCAGTAAATCCATTTCTTTTTGGTTTTTGAGTGGCAAAAGTCTGTGAATCTGGAGGATTTGAAGTTAATTTGAAGGGGAAATTAGGCTCCATTTCACAGGCGAAACCCAGACAGAACTTTGGTTTGAGTTAAATAAAAAATACCAAGTATATTTTTGTTTAATTTGTATATCTACCAATTGTTTACATACACATTTGCAATTATCTTCCACGTCCCTTTAAGTCGGATATCTTCTGTCCAAACTTTATTTATTCTATTTATAGTAAGCCACCTGTATATATATTCATGGTACATATTCACCTGTAAACTCCGTTCTAATAACAACCATCTGTAAATTATGTTATGGTTCACATCTGTAAAAACTATTCATAGTAATATCCACCTGTATGTTATATTCAGTCCATAACCAGCTGTACATTTAGTTCAAATTACTAATTATTTATATATTATATTCATAGGACAAATCTATCTGTAACATTCTGCTTATAATTTTATGTATCTCTATATTTATCCAGTACATATCCATTATATATCTGCACTTGCTGCTGGTTAGAGCTAAATACCATTTAGTTCCTTTGAACCTGTGTAATGACAATAAAGTTGAATCTAATTTAATCTAATCTAAACTGATAAATGGGTTCTGAGAACATTTTAAAAGGTTAAGAAACTTTCCAAGACTACTATAAATCTTCATCTTCATAAGCGGGGTCACATTTCTCTGCTGCTTACTTTGGACTCACTGTGAAGCTCTCCAGTTTCTTAATAGCTTAAAAGCTCCTCAGTCTGGAGTTTGTTAACAGTGTTCAGTTTGACCAGAATGTGGTGAAAGATCTAAAGGCTCGGTTTAGTTTTGGCTCGGTTTCCCTCTTCTCTCACCGACAGGCGGGAGCCGGCCCGCGCCCGGGCTATGGACTCCCGCTCTTTCTCCGCCGCTCGCCGCTGGATGGCTTGGAAATTGTTGAGAGCTGCTGAGAAATCGTTCATCAGACGGTCCCTCTGGATCTTCTGCTGCCTCTGGGGGGGGACAAAGCAGAGTAAAAAAGTCTGCTTTGTTTCCCAATTCGAGAAAAGAACGACGCGAACCGGCCTTCAAAACCTGAAGACCGGTCAGCATACCCATAGTTAATACGCATGCGCTACCTTTAGCGGAAATCTAAGAGAATAACATTGACGAAGTTTACTAGACTACTTTATTTATGCGTGATATGATAAACAAAAAGGTTGTAGTTTAAGGTAAACACACAAACTTACCAGAAAAACACACCGAAAGTCCCTGGAAAATGATAGGATATAAGCTAATAAAATACGTGGCAAAATTGATCATCGATTGAACTGTTCCTTTAATCCCAACATTGAACAAGATTATCATTACTTTTTTATGTGCTAACTACAATTTTGCTAGTAGTAAGCATCATGCTCACGTTTGATTCACTTCAATTAATCTGGATCCAAGATGACGTAATGTCCAAATCAAAATCAACGATTGGCTGTTTTGTACGGGACGCGTTTTGTAGATGGCTGCAGGTGCTAAACCCTTCTCTAAATACACTTTAAACTACTTCAACGCGCGAGTATCCCTTTAGTTTTGTACGAAAAATACACTTTAAACTACCTCAACGAGCGAGTATCCCTTTAGTTTTGTACGAAAAATACACTTTAAACTACTTCAACAGGCGTGTATCCCTTTAGTTTTGTACGGAAAATACACTGTAAACTACCTCAACAGGCGTGTATCCCTTTTGTTACGTACAAAAAAATAATTTAATTACTTATTTGTTGGTGTTTTTCGAAAGGTATGGCGATCTGTCGGCTTCTCCAAGTGTTCGCTACTTTTCGCAGTAATACGCATTAGTGATTTTTAGGGTGCAGAAAGAGCCAAGTAAGGCTAGCCAAGCATGGGTATATTTTGACGACAATGTTGGTAAAAATTCTTAAGGGATTTTGGATGTGATGTATGCTGTGAGTATGAATATGTGCATTGCTATATCTATGAATAGGTAACTGATAAGTGCTGTCGTGTTCTGTGTTGCTGCCGGTGTTTGTGTTTTTCGTTGTTGAATGGCATCTGTTTGTAATTGTGTTATAAAAGAAAAATAAATAAAAAAACTTTAACTCAATCGCTGCCAAAGACGTCTATAGAGGTCTTTTATGTTTTTCATTGCGAGTGTCTGGGGGACGATCTGCTAAAGCTTGTCCGTAAATAGTAACAAATTGACCCTCTAGGGGGCAGTGCCACTTTTGATGGGAGATGAGCATAGACTGTAGGCAAATAAGAAAAAGGTAACGGTTCTATGAGAGAACATGTCGCCGGTGAGACGCACGTCGAAGAAGAACGGAATAAGGTAGAAACAATTTTTTTTTCCTGATGAAAGAAGAGAGTCTACTCTTTCTTTTGGTGTGTTCGGTGTTTACATAGTCATAGCACAAACTATTCTGTGGCTCTTGAAAAATCAGTCAAAATGCTCAAAAAACTCTGGCAGTATGGGACTCTCTGTTCTGAAAACGGCTGGCAGTCAATGAGTTAAGGGATTTTGGGTGTGATGTATGCTGTGAGTATGAATATGTGCATTTATATATCTATGAATAGGTAACTGATAAGTGCTGTCGTGTTCTGTGTTGCTGCCGGTGTTTGTGTTTTTCGTTGTTGAATGGCATCTGTTTGTAATTGTGTCATAAAAGAAAAATAAATTTAAAAAAACTTTAATGAAAAAAAAAAAAAAAGGCCGGCACCTGCTTTGATACGAAAGCCTTATGAGACAGGACGAGGAAACAGCACATAGGGACTCAGACAAAATGGCGTCCACAGATCATCACTTACCTGTTCTGACGCTGATGAAGACAGAGGAACGGAGCCGAGCTCTTTCAGGTTCTTGTTGGTGTCTTTTGCTAGCTGGTTGGTGTAGTGTTGGATCTGCTGCCTGTAAGAAAGCAGGAGAGCCTCACTCAGCATGCTAACAATGCTAACAATGCTAACAGAGCTAATGCTAACAAGGCTCCTTAGGCCCAATAAGGGGAAGGGAGTAGAGTTTAACCATATCTGTGACCATCTCATGGACGGCTGGACAGGGTAGCCAGCTCAGAACTAATTTGACTGTTCAGTGTTTATTTATCTATATGTATCAGGGTTATGGGGCTAGGAATGTCCCAATTTGGCTTTTTGCAGTTCCGATCCAATCCCCGCCTATCAGAGCATGTGTTAAAGTTTAAAGTTATTTATCTACTTACTTAGTTGTCAGACTCATTTTGAACAGGGATTTACTCTGATAACAACTAGCCAGCTGAATTAGGGGAGTCTGAATAATACACACTGGTAGGAAAAGAGACACTGACCTGTTTATTCAGGGATAAACACAAAATAGACCAAATTATAATTAACAAACGGAAATGGCATCAGTGAACAGTAAAAAGTGAAAATAATATTATAAACTGTATTAAAAAAGTAGAACACACAAACAACCTGAATAGTAAATAGTCTATTAACTCAGCATCAGTAATGTATTATTTTTAATCGGTGTGCTAGGAAACACGGATTGGACAATAAACAAACGGATCGGGATTCTGCATCTAATGCCTATATGGGGCATTGTTATTTATTTATTATTATTGTTCTGTTCTGTAGTCTTCCAAGAGCCTAGCAGGTCTTTCCACTGTTTACAAAGGGTTAACTTGTTCTTTCGGTGTGGAGCTGTTGTATTTATTTAGTTTTTTCGGTGTTGTTTTGTTGTTTAAACGACATAACACGCTGCTCAGCCTCTTTCTGCTGATCAGGGCCTACAGGAAAACGCCATTAGGGCGGCTAAGAAGAACGAGCACATGGAGGAGAATGACTTTAGCACACGCGTGGGTCAGGTGACTCTCCGACATGTGACTGTAAAGAGCTAAATGCCTTCTGTGTGTTTAAGGGCTCGCAGACTGGTTTGGAACTGAAGCAGCCATTTTAGACGAGAGCTGAAACATCTGTAACATCCAGGAAGTGGTCAGGTGACCTTCTTGTGTTATTACCAACGGTCAAATGGATGGAATAAACCACTTTATCTGTGTTTGCGGCAGCAGAAAGACTGGATGTGGAGGAGGGAAGAAGGCCGGTACGTACAGGCGGTCCTGGAGTTCGCTGGTGTCCTGCCGGGTTCCCACCTGATTCACCATGCTCTTGATCTGAGCCGCTGTCAGGAGAAAACAAAGATTTAATCCTCACACGTGTGAATCAGGATGCACACCTCAATCAATCAATCAATCAATCAATCAATCAATCAATCAATCAATCACTTTATTTGCCTGGTGCCACACCCCACACAGTCCCAGTTAGGGGGCATGTGGGAACACAAACATGGCTCCGACATGCTCCAGAACTCTGGGACTGAATGTGGAATCCGCTAAGGAAAACTCACGCCAGGATTTTTCCCAGCAACTAATTTGAATATATTAATACAAAGTGTGAATATTCCTTTTTTTTTTTTTTACTAGGTAAACAGTGTAAACTACAAACATTAAGCAAATTAAACCAAGTCCTGCATCAGCTTGACTTCCGAGTGGTAGTGAAA